CAACTTCTTTCATTTCATTTGAGCTACGAAAGTTTTCTATTGGACTAACGAGACTGAAACTTTTTGGGGAAAACACTCAACTCCCCATAAATAGAATTTAAATTAAATTTAAGGAGAAACCTCTTAAAGACCTTTCATCCGGCGACAGACAGACCTTTCGAAGCCCTTTCATCGGGCGACAGAGTGGCCGAAACTTTTTGTTTCCAGAATTACTTTTATCAAAATGACATCAATCATAAATGCACTCATTCAGCCGTTGTCATGTCACCCGCCATGCCATTCCATGCCTTTCCATGCCATGCCTTTCCATCAATAACCATTTCTAGTGCTTCCTGCTTCCCCGAAGCTTTTGTGGCGTCTGCTCCCCCTCTGCCGCTGTTGCTGCTGTTGCTGTTGGGGCATCCTTTCAACGTTTTCTAATTGAAATTGATTTAGAGTATTTTTGCATTGGACTTTTTTCTGTCGCCTTTCGCCATGGGCGAGCGTGTGGCGTGCGTGGCCAAACTAACAGTTTGTGGAGTTTGAATGGAAAACAATTATGGCAGAATGCGGTATTCCCTCCTTGGAACTCTTTATAGATACATTTTCGTATTGTCTATGTTTTAAAAGAGCTAGAAAGAATGGCTATAGTCAAGAGACTCGACAGCGAGGGGCCAAGACCTAAATGAAGCTGTTTTAAAGCTCTTTTAGTCATGGCCAAGCAATGTATGTTGTTGTTGGTCTATTGGCACCGATTTTTGCGCCGGAGACGAAGCATAGGCGAAGAGAGATCTGAAACCACACACATAATTTTGATAATTGCCTAGTCTCTGCAATTTATCTTATTAAACGCGGCATTTAACGGCTATTCGCGAAATTTTGCGAAACAAAAAAAGATACAATTGGATTAGAGACCTCCCTCAGGGCAGAGTCAATTCACTTATGGTAATCCCATGGAAAGCCATAGAAAGTGAGAGCCACGGGAACTTGTTTCCTTCCTTTATTGTTGGATAACTATGGAAGGAACTGGGAACGAACCTGTTTTCCCCGTTCCGGCTATAAAAATGATTTCGAATTTGCTTTTCATTAATTAATTAAACAAAGAAACTACATTTCATTGTATAGCATCTGGTTTGGAGCAAGATTAAATTAGAAATTCAGCAGGTTTTTCAGCTGATGTGGCATGTTGCAGCACATCTAGACCTGAGGCCTGCTGGTTGCTCAAGGGATCTAAGAGCTTTTGCGGGCTGACTCGAATGATTGAAAAATCTATTAATTTGAGTTACTTGCAGAAAAGAATGCTTAAAATTCCTAGCACATGATGGCCCCACACTCGACTGTGTGGATGGATGTGGGCTTGAAGTACATAAGCACACACGCATACGGATGCACGATTGTATATAGTACTGTGTGCGAGTGTGTGTGTGCAAGTATTGCAAAGGTGCGGGCCGAGAAAACGAGTTTTCTACCCGCTTCCATCGCATGGAATGGCATGGCATGGCATCCCATCCATTCCGTTGCGTCGAGTCATTCCATTCCATTCCGAAAGAGTGATTGAAAGCATGGGGGTAGCAGCTGGTTTTTCGCCACATTTTTAATGGCATGCCTCGGGCCAAGGCCCCGCCGGAGAGGGGCAACACCGAGGGAGACAGAGCGAGAGAGAGAACCGCAAACCGAACCGCAAACCGCAACGATCGACTACGAGCCGAACCAAGCCGAGCCTAGCCGATGCCGCACGAGCCGATGCCGAACCGAAAACGAGGCAAAGCCGAACACGATCCCCGTTTGGAGGCGGCCATCATCAGCAAAGTGCCATAATTTCTTGCGGAGGGCACCCCGCCCCCGGTGGGGGGCCAGGGTGAAATATATTATGATGAATGGCTTTCAAGTGGGACGCAGCCTTCCGTGCGCCCACCCGTGGCCGTCCCAGCCCTGTCTGCTGGGGTATATGGCTCACTATATATACATCTATGTATGCACGGTATATGTTTACTGCATGATTTATGAGGCATTTCGAAAGTAGAGAGCGAGCGAGCGAAGAAGAGGCAGCGCGGGAACGGGGCAGTTGGCCTTTGGAGAAAACTAAGATGAAACTTTCTTTCGAACGTCAGAGGCATTAAGCAGAAGATGGATCGCCGGATCAACTACGGAGCTGTGGATCCCCCCATCTGCAGCTGCAGTTTCAGTGGCCCCCCACCAAAGTCCAGGTCCAGGTCCAGGTCCTTTTGCCTGTCCCTAGCTTTCGTCTCTCGGCGAGGGGGCATTCATCAATGTCCGTGGCACTTCCGTTTGAAAATACAGACACAAAGAGGGAGAGCCAGCAGCAGCAGCGATGGCTGCATGTAAAACACTCGCCCACCAATGCAACAATCTTTATCGAGCACCAACCATAATCAATCAATGGGATTTATGTGCTCCAACTCGAGATAAAACTAATCAATCTTCGCTTTGGGACAGTCACTACTATTCGGAGACGACAGAGACGTTGGCTGGCAACAGCAGGAAGCATCCCCAAAGCTGGATACCAGAGCCAAGCTTTAGCTTGAAGCACTATTAATTTCCCTTCCGAGAGCAGAAGCTACTGCGATTAATTAAACCCAGAGAAAAAATGTAATATTTACATGGAAATTGTATAAAACAAAGAGTTTATAGCACGAGCAACGATGGTATCATCGCATAATTTCGAACGTACGTTAGTTCGAAGTTAGTCTGGATACAAACTGCTGGTGGCTCTAGCTCCTAAAGTCTCCAAGAACTAGGCGCCAAACAGGACGGAGAGACAGACATGGCTCAAACGACTCAGCTTTTGATGCTGATCAAGAATATGTAGACTTTATTAGGTCGAAAACGCTTCGTTCTGGGTGTTACACACGTCCCCAGTCTAATATAACCATATATGTACTCTTATTGAGTATCAATAGTTAAAGACCAGCGACAGTGTCAACCAGACGTGTTTGTTGTGCTTATCGTTTGAGAATTTATTGTTGAAAATGCCGCTGCGCAGAAGATCTAATTTTTCCCGAAAAAGCCATAATTCAGCTCAGTAATTCTCAAACACGAGATCAGAGAGAAGCAGCCCGTGAAACGACTCGGTTGTCGGTCGGCAATCTTCGAGCTCAACGTAGACTTCAGGAACAAGATAATATTCGAGGCGGAAGACAGAGAAAAGCGGGGGCAAATCCAAACAAGGATGTTGTGAGTTTCATGCTTATCATTTTATCTGGGAGATCCTTGGCATCTCCATTGTTTTTTTAGGCTTTAGTCGCAGCTAAGCGCGGTGTTTGTGTATCAACTCTACCCAAACGGCTCGACGGGTTTTAATGAAATTTTTGTTGTATATTTAGTAAGTATGCGAATAAGTTATTAAGTGTTTCTAATCTTCCTACCACCACCCACCATTTATTGGTGGACCATTTTGTCCGTTGAATGAATAACGCCAGAAACATGCGCAATAGTTGATCAGAAAGAACCGATGAACGAAGAGGCACAAGAGGCCCGCGATGAACGAAATCAATAATGAAAATTGAAACGGAGGCAAGCAAATGGCTCTCGCATTCGATTAAGAGCCAAATATCGAATATTCCGCTCATCCGAAAGTGCTGATTGGTGCTAGGGAGAGAGAATGTCCACATTGTCATGCCCTCATGTTCAAACAGGGACCAGATGTTGTGTGTTGCAAATCAGTAAAAGTGCAACTACTTAAGAACGGTTTTGTATCTTTTTATTGTAATTTGTTTCTGACTGTATCCGGTAGTGCCTGGGCAATGCTGTGGACGAGAGCAGATTGTGAGATAATCTCGCTCCCCCTAGAGTTGACTAAATGTCATTTCCGGTCATAAATCACAACAAAAGCAGATAAGCCAGAGATAAGGCCTGCAACGTTGTGTAACCACTTGGCTCAAGGAAAATGTCGGAGATCAAGGTCGAAAGTGGAAAATTTCTGCTGCAAATATGTTAGGAGAATTCATAAGAAAACATGACCTGTGCATTACTTGCGGGTTCAGAGGGATTATTGTACTTGAAAGTATTGAAATGGGGCTATAAATCTATAAATTAACAGAGCCTGTTTTGTGTCGAATCGAAAATATATATATCCCGGCTGGCCATAGGTTGATTATTGCTAAAAAAAAAAAGAAAGATATACCCATCTTTTAATAGGTAGCAGTACCCGTTCTATCCACCCGTGTAGCCAAGCGTCAGAACTTCTCTAGAGGGTTTATCCGTTTTCCGTTGTAGTTTTACGGGTCAGTGAATCAGAATTCAAGGGAACCCTTAATTTAGTTTGCTTTCGTATTGACGTAAAATGAATTCAAGGCCTTTTCGAGGAAGTTACCAAGTGCTGATTGGATCGGTGACTGCGGTCGATGCGATCGGGTTGCTATGCAAAAGGTACAGAGAAGTCACAGCGAAATGCAAAAGGACAGCTCAGGAGCACCTTTCCAGAGAAAGGAAAGCCGATTGGGAAGCCCGATGCTATCTACTAGCACATCGATGGTGATGTGGTGCTCTTTTATAATCCTCAGCGGGTGAAGGGAATATCCCCGAAACTACAGACAAATTGGAAAGTACCATCTGTAGACGATAATCCGAGAAACATTTCCATATCCCTTTAGGAGATTTTCCTGTTAGAAAAAAGTCTTTTTGCACAGAAAAAAGTCTAGACATTGGCTTTAAATGTAATAAAATTTATTGAGCATAAGAGGGAGGTATTTATTTTAAGGTACATATTTTTAGCCTGATAATACCCTGAAATAACCAGCCGTATCTGAGTGGAAAGCGATTAGATTAGATAAGATAGGAACCCACTCCACTCCACTCCACTGCACTGCAGTCCAGAGAAAGCGCTGTCCTTACACGGCCTGGAGCTGTGTGCTGCGCGATAAGTGGCAATGATCCTGATTAGAGCTTATCGAGAGAGGGGTTCAGCCACTGGGCAGATAGCATTGCGGGGCGGGCGGGTGTGTTTATCCAATACGAGTGTGGATTGTGCATTAAAGATCGATTATCTTGTTCCTTTGCAGTCGGAGTCGAATTCCTCGGCCTCGGCCAAGTTCACGCTGTTCAAGTGCGTGTACTGCGCCCAGCTGCTGGGCTCCAACGACCGTCCGAAGCTGCTGGAGTGCCTCCATGTGGCCTGCTCGCAGTGCGTGAGCACAAAGTTCTCGGAGCTGGACCGCTCCCTGCCGCCGCTGATACACTGTCCGGTGTGCGACAACGCCTCCCAGAACGAGTTCATTGTGGACAACCAGTTCCTGATCGAGCAGTGCACGGCCGGGGAGAGCGGCGACGGCAGCGGCTCGGAGCTCGGCCAGAAGAGCGTCGCGACCATCGTGCAGTGCAGCAGCTGCTCGGACGGGGCAGCGGCCACGTCGTGGTGCGTCGACTGCTCGGAGTACATATGCGACAGCTGTGTGCAGGCGCACCAGCGCCTCAAGATCACCAAGGACCACACGATCAAGCCGAAGGACGAGGCAAACAACGAGCAGCTGGCCGGCACGGCCGGCGTCGACAAGCTGCACATGTGCCAGCTGCACACCCAGGAGAAGCTGTCGCTCTTCTGCGAGACCTGCGACAAGCTCACGTGCCGCGACTGCCAGCTGAGCGACCATCGGGATCACAAGTACAAGTTCGCCCACGAGATCGCCACGGAGTCGCGGCAGGCGCTCTCCACGCTCGTCTCCGAGATCAACTACAAGCGGTTCCTGCTCTCGTCGGCCACCAAGGTGATCGACGACCGGCAGCAGCTGATACACGACAAGAAGAAGGACCTGATCAAGGAGATCACCGCCATGGCGGTGAAGATCACCAACACGGTCAACACGCGCGGCAAGCAGCTGATCATGCGCCTCAACGAGGTCTGCGACAGCAAGCTGAAGGTCCTCGTGGAGAAGAAGGAGACGCTCCAGCTGCTCTCCGACAACACGGACCACTGCATCGAGTTCATGCAGAACGCTCTCGACAAGGGCAGCGACTTCGCGATACTCTCCAGCAAAAAGTCGCTGGTGCGGCATCTGCAGAAGCTCAAGTGCCAGCGCGCGGACATACCCAATCCGGAGATACCCGTGCGCATCCAGGTGCAGCTCAACCAGGTGTCCGACCTGCAGAAGGTCATCTCCCAGCTGGGCATCATCATTGTCGATGGCAAGCCGTACCCCCCGTCAGCCTCGCCCAACGGCACGCCCCAGCCGCCGCCGCGACAGCCGCCCAGCCCGAACATGGCACCGCCCCTGCGGCCGGGCCTGCCGCCGGGCATGTCCGCCGGCCTCTCACCCAACGGGCCGCCCGTCAACTTTGGCCCGCAGAACGGTCCCCCGATGTACAGCAGTGCGGCGGCCCAGCAGCAGTTCAACAATCTGTCGGCGATGAGCAGATCCTTTCCGGGCGATGGACCAGGTAAGGGTAGGATATGTTTTTGTTTGCTTATTTCATTCCCCTTCGGTTCCCGCACCCAGTGCAGTGGTCCGTTCTGTTTTCCCTGAGGGGCAGCTGTTTAAATAGTTTCGTTCTTTCCTTTTTCGCAGTTCGCTTTGGGGGAATGCCGCCGGTGGGCATGCAGCGTCACGGCCAGCCGCACGTAAGCTCCTCCACACATCCGCAGAATATGGGTAGGTGTTTCGGTTGCACATTGAGGCGCATCTTGTTTGATTAATTCCGTTGTTTCTCCTTCGCAGACATCAGCCTGCGGGGCCTGCTGAACAATCAGGCGGCGCAGAGCCCCAATGCCGGGCACATGGGCTTCAATGGGCCGCCCAGCTATCCGGGCGGGCCGCAGGGCGGTCCCTCGCCAGCCCACCAGCAGATGGGGGGACCGCAGATGCGACCGCATTTCATGGGTGGCCAGCAGGGTTTCTCGCAGGGCGGCGGCGGCGGTCCCGGAGGCGGGCCCAGGGACAACAATTTCATGAGCAGCAACGCGGCGCGCTTCCAGTCGCAGTACCAGCGCATGGCGAGCCATGCCCAGCAGGCGGCCGTAGCGGCCATGGCCGGAGCAGGTGGCGGAGGCGGCCAGATACCGTCGCCCGGGTCGCTGCAGCGCCCACAAATGATGCAGAATCCCATGCAGAATGTAAGCCCCGCCTCGAGGAGAGACCCACCTCCACACGGAGACTAAAACTGTTCCTTTCCGCTTCTTGCAGTCGTTGGGGTTTCATGGGAGCCAGGCTGGCTTTAATACCGGCCCACCGCAGACGTCGCCGCAGCTAGGCGGCGGCATGCACAGCCTGGCCAAGTGGCACATACCGCAGTCCGCGCAGCAGTCGAACAGTGAGTCCCCCAGGAGCTCCCCAGAACCTCCCCAGAACTGTGTATTCATTTCGCGTCTATTTTTCAGTGTGCTCTCAGCAGGGTCCCCTTTTGCCGTTCGCCAATGGCCGCCAGACATCGGAAAATTTTAAAATCTCCCTGAAGTCCCCCAACACGCTCAAGAACAGCACTCCGCCCAGCCTGGGGTTGGGCGTTCCGGGCATGCCGGGCCTTGGCAATGGTTCGTTGGTCAATGCCGCCGTCCTAGGGCTTGGCCCCGCTGTATCGATACTCTCCAACGTCACCTCGACAAATCCAAAGACGCCCAGTCCCAGCACTCATGAGGTGAGTGCGAGCAGGATCTCCCGAAAAGGCTTATGCTAACCGGTCTCCGTTTGGTTTTGTTTGCAGAACACCAAGGACTTCACGGAGCCCATTGACAAGGTGCGCGACGACTCCATCAACGATCTGATAGCGACCATCGCTAAGCTGGACTCGAACGGGGTGCAAGTGTTGCCCGAGGGCCGCACCAAGACCACCTCGCCGCAGGTGCACAGCTCCACGGACCTGTCCAACACGCAGGAAGGTAGGCTCTGAGTTCTTTATGGTACTGCTTTTCATGGTGTATGGGTGTTCTTGTCTTGGCATAAGGATTTTTTCTGTGCTCCTGGGGTTTGGTTTATCGAAATGAAAATTCTAATTCTACAAATTCTCATATAACCTTTGCTCTCTTTATTTCTATTCCAAAAATAAAACTCGATTTTCGAAACACCAATCTTAACGCGCAATCAACGATTGAAACGAACAATAAATTACTAACAATTGAATCAAACAATAAACAAAACAAAAACACCCACACACGCACACACACACACACACACACACACACACACACTGCCCCGACCCGATCCGACCCGACCCTCTGAAAACGAATAAAAAACTAATAATATCAGTTAATAATAAAAACGAACAAAAAGATGACCCCAACGAGGATTGGTGCGCCGTCTGCCTGGACGGGGGCGAGCTCATGTGCTGCGACAAGTGCCCCAAGGTGTTCCACCAGAACTGTCACATACCCGCGATCAGCTCGCTGCCGGACGAGAGCGAGAGCTGGCAGTGTCTGCTGTGCGTCAACCTCAAGGAATTGACCAAGAACGAGGGCGCCACCGCCGACAAGTCGGCGCATCCGGGCGAGCTGAGCAGCCTGGAGCTGAGGATATTGCAGCGCATTTGCCTGGAGCTGTACTGCCAGTACGAGCAGAGTCTCAACTTCCGTGAGCCAGAGTCGCCGGCCAACACGTCCTACTACGAGATTGTGTCCAGGTAGGGCTTGAAATCCGTCCCCTATCCATCCGCATGTCACTTATCTAAGAATGCTCTTGTTCTGCAGTCCCATGTCCCTGGATGTGATACGCACACGTCTGGATCCCTCCAGTCCCAATCACTACAAGGATATTGCTGGTTTCGTGACCGACGTGCGCTTGATATTCTCGAACACATATCTGTTCTATCAGGTGAGTGTTATCGATCATCTGTAATCCGACTGACAACTAATGATTGCGCGTTTCCCGCCAGGAGGATACGAAAACGTACACCAATGCCAAATACTTGGAGAACTTCTTCGAGGAGCAACTGGCCAAGTGGCTGCCCAATTTCGAGGGCAAGCTGAGCAAGGGCAGCAGCGCTTCCTGCTCGCCCGCCCTGATGGCGGCAGCGGCGGCGGCCAACGCGGCTGGCTCGCCGTCACCCATCGAGAATGGACGCAAGAGCTGCGGCTCGGCTTCGTTGGGCGACAACGATGGTGCCTGCTTGCCGCCCAAACGGGCGCGGCGGACTATGCACGAATAGGACGAGCTTTTGCCCAGTCGCAAGGGCATGGATGAGCAGGAGCCGGGCCAGGCGGGCCAGCCGGCGCAGCATTTAGGAGTGGAACAGCCAGGGAAGCAGCAGCAACCGCAACAGCAGCAGCAGCAGCAAACGGGCTTTGATATGGAGGCGGATCTAGACTTTGATATGCTACAGCGGCCGCAGGGCCTGGGCAGCACCGTCATACAGGAGAGCGCCGACTATGTGCTGCAGCTTCTGCACGCATATGCCGCCGCCTTTGGGCTTTAAAAATGCCACAAAGCCACACATATCCCCGTACTCCCCCTACTATATCCGTAGTCTTCGTTGTATATTCTGAAACTTCAGAAGCTTCCCCCCGAAAACATGAGATACACGCCGGTACTTCAAAGCTCTCTAACGAACAAAACCCAGCATAGGTGTTCCCCCTTTAGTATCTAGTGTTAATCCGCATCTGTAAATAGCCGAAGCCAAGTCATTTGATATGACTTTTCTTACGTTCAATGGTTCTAGATATTTGTAAGAGTCTCTCCATTGAAGAATTGAGATGAGATATGATTAGGTACATAAATATAATCGTAAGTGTTGAGTATACATAAACATTAATTTAGAAAGAGGAGAGGATACGATGGTCGAAATATGTATACCCCAATATATGTAAGAGATTAAACCTAGATGTACTGTGAAGTGAGTTCCAAGTTGGAGTGAAAAATCATCCTCTCAATCATCATCATCTTTCATCTTTATTTGATAGATTTGATAGACGACCCGCCCTGACCCCGACCCCGAACCCTGACCCTGACCCCCGTTCAGCATTATTATCTCTGCGTTGGAGTTGTATTTACTTTTGTGATAGCGAAAAAACAATAAGATGAACAAAAATTAACAAATTATTTACTAACATCAATTACTATTACTATTACTATTACTATAATCATTATCATCTTTATAATTACATATGTTACGAGTATAACCATGCAATGCAATTCTACATCATTTCGAATTTGATGTGTGTACGATAGCCATCGACACCGATAACCCATCCACCATCCATCAGTAGGATCTAATGTCCCAAGCCCTAGAACATCATACATTCTGTATACCGTATAAGAAGACACTCGAGAATAAGTTTCGGCTGCATTCTAGCCAAGTTTCGCAGGTCAGATGAATCAAACCCTTAATTACCGATTAGGCAACACAGTATAGATGTTTGAATGTTGTACGTTTGACGTTTTAGCATGTACGATTTAAGTAATTCTTAACTATCGATCGACAGGCCAAGCAGCAGCCGCCGCCACACAACTACGCAATGCACTGCACACTCAAAATGGATACCTCTGGCCAGTGCTGTACATAAAACCATTGATCACAAAACAGATCACAAATAGATCCAAAACAGAATCAAGTTTTCATATATATTCATATAAACGGAGTCGAAGCCGAAAAAAAACCTACTAAAATAAAATAAAACACCGAAATCGCCTATGGTCAATATTTTCGTAAACGTTTTCAATTGCCAGAGAGACACACACACACACTTAGAAACAGAAACAGAAGGTATACTTAAACTAGATGATAAATATGATGATGTGCTGGCTGCTACTCCTATCGATGCCACATAGAAGAAATAAGCGAGGGGCTACTGAGGGCCCGAAATGAAATTATAAATCCTAACAAACCATAAGAAATGAATCAAATAATACCTACCATGCAATGTGTGAAGCGAGCAAACAGAAGAGGTACTACGTAGATCTAGACCGTGCGTAGCATAGGCGTATGTATGGTACGGTATGGTATGGCATGTGTTTTGTATGTTGATTGTGAAACTATGGAAATTATTTTATTTGTTTTAGAGACATAAGTTTTATGGTACCGATAACTAACGTTTAATCACTGTATATGGATGTGTACTACTACTTACTATCGAGTGGATTATAAAATAAAAGCAAAAACAAATGGAAAAACAAAACTCATAGCTGGTTTCTGGTGTTTCTAAATGGCAAAGAATCCATCCTCGCGCAGATGCTGCTCCTCCGACTGGGGCTACAACAGGAACCGCTCATCGATGAGAGTCTTGCGCGAGACATTACGGCGCACCCACAAGCGGAAGATGTGCCGCAGAACCTGTCACACAACGAGAGATCAGATCAGTAAAGTTCCTCCGACCCCTCAATGGTGATCATACCATATTGAAGCCACAAGCCAGAGCCCCAGCCATCAGCAGGCTGGAAGTCATCAGGAATACGGACAGCAGCAGGAGGATCTCCAGCACAAAGATATTCACATGGTTGCCCAGCAGCAGGACGCGAGAGAAGCTGAGCGAGTCGTCAATGTAGAAGGTTCCCTTGTCTGCAGTTGGAAACGGAAACTATGAGAAATGTGCGTGATAGGAAATGGTTTTAAGGGCCACCCACTCTCCGTAATGTAGTTGTCGATCTCGCAGTTGAACAACTTTTCCACCACCGACTTTTCCTTGATGATGTAGTCCATATCCTTAATGGCCTGCAAGAGAGAGTAGAACAGAGATAGGAGACCTCTAAACATGGATGGAGTGGCCCTTACATGATCGATGAAGGCGCAGAAGAAGCGATTCACGCTCGCATAGGCTATGGAAGTGCGCTCTATCTGGCCGTCGATGCTGGGAATGATGTCCTTCTGGTAGAGCAGCGTCTGCGACAGACTGCCAGTGACACTGCGCTGGAAGGGCAACAGCAGGCGCTCCAAGTAGATGCTGTGAACAAAGATAGGATAAGTGAAATCCTGCAGAAGTTTCTTCTCTCTCGACGTACTGCAAATTTCTTGGCGGCAGAATGATGTAGGCCTGCTTGTCCGAGTCCATGAGCAGCCCACGACGCCCGGACATGTTCTGCGTCTTCTGCAGCTGCAGTATCATGGAAGACATGTCCGTATCGGCGAAGCCATGGGGCGACCTGCCGTGGATGTAGTAGCCGAAGCCAGGCTCCAGCAGCGAGAACAGCGAAATGTTGGCCAGACTGCACAGATCGATGAACTTCTGCAGGGGATTGGCGGTGAGCAGGCGGTGTCCCATTACTTGCAGGAGATACGAGACTATGTAGCTGCCCGAGACCAGGCAGCAGCGCAGACCCACGTCCCCATGTGTGTACCGCTCGAAGAGCTGGTACACAGCCACCAGGGTGAAAACCTGTCCCAGGGTGGAGTACTTTTGGGCCACACTGAGGCGGATCCAGGCATTGGCCGTGAACAGAATGCGCCAGGCGGACACGCTGCTCTCGGCCACGTACGTGCGCACACTGGAGCAGAGCGAGGAGCTGTCCAGATTCAGGCGCTGGCCCTCGCAGCTGCTGCGCGGCCGCTCCCAGTCGATGAGGAAGAGCTCCAGTTGGCTGGATCGCCACAGGTGGACAGTCAGGAACATCAGCTGCAGCACGCACCCGGAATAGATGAGAGTCTTCAGCAGGTGGGGAGTGGAGACGTGCAGGGCCAGCAGCAGAAGAGCTGTGGCCAGGAAGGCGTATGCCACATTGCTGGCCAGCTGGAGCAGGAACTCCCACAGACTGCTGGCCTGACAGAGCTCCGCATGCCGTCTGCGCCGCAGGTTCTGCAAGCGGAAGGCCGCTGCCGAGAAGGCCAGCAGCAGGAGCAGTGGCAGAGCCACTTCCAGGATCAGCCATTTCCATCCACGCTCCGTTTTCTGGTAGGTAACCCTCATCCGGAACGGATAGGTCTGTGCGAGCGAGGCATTCCCCGCCAACTCGATGTGGCGATAGCGGAGTCGGATCAGGGGCAGCCCCACCCGATCCCTGTGGCTCCCGTCCAGCGTGTAGTGTAGTTCCAGGTCCTCGACGTAGCGCAGCGAGCGATACACCTGCAGCTTGTGGCCATCCTCGTAGTGCGGCACTGTCTGGTGGTGGCGATTGTCCCTGAGCAAGCCGGCAATAAGCTGGAACCGCTTCACCAGCTGCCACTCCTCTTGCTGCGGGCGCTGCAGGGGAAAATGGTCGTGAAAATGTACTCTATAATGGATCGAATCCCACCTGGTTCTCTGGCGTCAGGGTCTCAATGAGCACGGGCAGCTGGTGGAGAAGGTGCTGCCAGTTGCTGCTGAAGTTGAGGAAGAGCGTGAGGTAGTTATCGTTGGCCTGCTGGCCGGCCAGATCTATTATCCGCTCCAGAGAGAGTTGACAGGACACCTCCGCCTCGGCCTGGGGCTGGGCAAGTCGCAGAGACGGGGCCGGCTGCTGGCAAAGATTAACCATGTCCAGGGTGAATGGTCCCCAGCGCTTCAGTCCTCCGTCCAGTCCGAAGGTGGTGCTGAAGAGCTGCAATTGATGGCGGTCCGCCAGCTGGAGGGTCTTCGAGCGCAGGTCCTTGGTCGCCTTTCCCTTCTTGTAGAAGAGGAACGGCTGCAGGGAGCGCACCTGCTCCCCGGAATGGGCGTACTTCATCACGACATCCGACACCTGGGTGAGCAGGAAGGCGCTGCAGGGCGAGTGCTTCTCGAGGGAGAAGTGTGAGAGCACGCACAGATTGGCCAGCTGCTGGCAGGCGGTGTCGTTCCTGAGCGTCAGGCAGAAGAAGGCCACGAACTTGAGGTCCCCGAAGTGGGTCGCTCCATTCGAGCTCGTCCGCGGGCTGGTGGTGGCCTGCCAGAAGGCATTGTAGTGGAGGTAGGGGCGCAGCAGGGCATCGGCCAGGCAGAAGTCCTGGTAGCGGAAGTTGTATGTCTGATCGCAGCTCTGGCAGTCGCTGCTGTTGCTGGCCGGATTCGTTTTGGTGAGGATGATGCCGGAGATCAGTGGATGGATGGGCAGTTGGCTGGCGAAGACCGACGTCGCATTGAGGTACTGCATGCTGCAGTACGAGGCGGGCTTTGGTTGGGGCAGCCACACCGACGTGCAGTTCTCGGCTCGGTCCGGCGATGTGGAGCATATCTCGTCGCAGGTCGGCCAGGTCTTGCCTCGCTCGTAGATGGATATGTGTCCTGCAGGGCACTTGCAGGAGAACTCTGAGGGGAAGGTTGAATTATTCAAACTGGAGGCAGACCATGGGGTGGGGGCAGCACCCCCCTCGTGACACCAATTCAAACCCATACTCAGAGACCAGGAGGGTCTCTGTTTGATCAATAGTCGCCATACTCACTGTCGGGCTGCAGTTTTCCTGGGTCCCCAGCCTCGTTGCACGGCACACAGTCAAAGTAGTTGAGGTTGTAGAACTCGTTCTTGAGGCACTGCAGCGGCTTCTGGAATCGGAACGTATGGGGCGTGGGCGCCGGCGCTGGCGACGATGGTGGCATTACGCCCGCCAGAGAGCAGGTCCCGAAGTCCTTGAGGATGGTAACACACGCCACCACCACCACCACCAGGATCGAGAGGAAGCACATGATCTAGTTAGCCGTAGGACCGACACTCCGATGCCAAAGCTCCGAAATTCAAATGGGAACTGAAACTTCTGCCACACATCGATTGCAGTTGCAGCCAAGGAGGTAGGCAAGTAAACAAGTCGCCTGCGTGGTCGGGAGTGGGTGCGCATACCTCATTGTTTGCCAAAGTTGCTATAGCTACCCAACCCCCTGGCTTCCTGGTCTTCGTGGGGGTAGCACCCTGGGCACGCATGCAAAATGGCCATTACGGGGCAAGGGGTGGCAAAGGCCATCGGCCAGGCAGGCCGGACCTCGGAGGGCGGATTGGAGTGAGGCGCTCTAACTTGTTACGCCTCGGATTACGCCGCAGAGTTTCCTTACCTTTCTAGCCTCTTTCGTGCTGAAAATGATGATTGGCATAATTATTTTTGTTGTTTATTACCTTGCCATTTTGCATACGATTTATACGAAATTAATCTGATGGAATCACATGATCATTAATATATATATATTTAAAGATTCCTTTGGGGTCTCTGGCAAAAGAATCCATCTGGTTGCCTCTGATTACACATCGCAAGTGGTAAAATAGGTCAGAAAATTACGGAGATTGATGCGAGTTTCTGATAAATGTTGTGCACTGATGTCCCTTTAAAATGGTTATAATTTTAAGAAGACACAGCTTTAACTTAAGCCTCTGTCGCACGGGACATGACGCACGGGACAGCCATTTCTTGGCTTAATAAAGGGTGAAAAAGGTACCTTAAACCGATATTTTAAAATGTTCTGTGATTTTGTTAGATAGCTCAATAGGTTAGAAAGACTTTGAGGAAAAACTCGTATTAAGAATCACAATTCTTATAGGAGCCAATAGTAAAGCAAAACAAGGGTATAAAAGGCACAAAAGTATATGGAAACCTTGGCTATTATACGTTGTAGTGCCTCTAGAAAATGGTTCGAGACTAAAAGGATAGAGGATTAAGAGCAAGCCTTTTACGGCATGTATTTAAGTAGCATGCAAATCAGATGAGCCTTGGATAATGGTCACGGATTGATTGAATAAGATCTCGGTAGATGACCTGCACCACGTTTGGGGCGTAAAGAAAATCCAAATGGTTCCAGTCTTCCACCTCCACATGATGCTGAATGGCACTAATCCGCTGGGCAAGTGTCTCAGCATCCTCGACCGACAGCAACTGGTCGCTGTCGCTGTAGAACATGTTAACTGTTAACGGAGCAACGTTGCTCAGGGCGTAGAGTGGTGGCCTTCTCGTACCGTAAACCCGTAGATTCGTGGCACTCCCGTAGTCGTACTTGGCGAAGCGTCCCGTCTTGAAAACCTGGGCGTAGTGCTTCAGCAGCCTGTTGGAGAACCCCGACGTCGCAGTCTTTTGAAGCTTCGCGGTGAGTTTCTGCGGCGGTATGGAGCTGGGTTATCCGATGCCTTCGAGGACACCGCATCCTACTCACCTTAATGTGAGGAGATTTGCCAGCAATGAGCGTGAACAAGATGTCTTGACAGACATGCTTCCACAACGGAGCGGCACAGAATGCGTCGGAGGACTTGTGCTGCGTCAGGCTACCGGGGCTATATTCCCCCTCGACCATGTACTCTTCTACCTTCAGAACCATCGTCATAAGCTGCGACCTCATGTGACTGCAGAAGGCCAGGGGTGCCAGCAGATTTGTCGTCAGTATTTTATCATTGTATTCCGGATGCTCCGCGAGCATCACCAGGTAGGCGGTACCGCCCTGCGAGTGACCAACAAAATGCAGCGCCGGCTGGTGAGTGACCCCAAGCACGTAATCGATCTGGGCTGGCAGGTCGTAGGCACCGATCTCGTGCCAGCTGAACTCCCAGAATGCTGCCTTCTTGGGATCCAGTCCGTTGTGCGCGCGTCCGTACGAATTGCCCCGAGAGTTGCCCAGCCACACATCGAAGCCCGCATCGGCCAGCAGGAAGGGCAGCCCACTGCTGGGGCCGTTGAGCAGCCAGTCGTCGGAGGACCCAGTGATACCGTGCTGCAGAAAGACAGCTGCCTTGTGTGCTCGCGCCTCTCCATTACGCGGCGAATATGGAATGCGAAATATGGTGAGAATGTAGCCATCGCTGGTCGCCAGCTTGTGCTGCTCTACCGGATAGTTGTGCTTGCCAACGAGATCCAGCTTGGGAGGGAAAAAGCATTGTCATAGCAAGTGATTCTCCTGAGCTGACTGGTTTGTGGCACTCACAGAATTCGATGTGGCAAAGTCGACGAGGCCGCCAGCAGCTAACAATAACAGAACCAGTCGGCTATTCATCGCTAACTGGTTAAATCTCTTGAGGTTACTTATAGCGAGAGTAATTTCACGATTTTCCATGGTTTGTCGAGCAATTGTTGACGGCCGAAAGCGCTAAAAATTCCAGGTGTAAAGTGCGAGTGAAAACTCTTCGGCCGGGTCGGTCAAGTTCTTGATTTCTCTATATTTACAATCCGTTGTATTTACACAATTTTTTGTTTGTCTAACTGAGCGCTCCAGCGGAAACGGCGTTGGCGGCCGCTCCCAGCTTGAGGTCTATATAGCGACGCAGCGCCAACGCCTTGATGCTCACAATCGAGTGGGTGAGTGTGGCTAGAAACGTTTTCGCCTGCTGGTAGTCGTTCTGCAGGGTCATGGCCACGGCCAGGTTGTATCGCACCACATTCTGGGCCGCGTCCAGCGACTTTAGCTGCCAGTCGCGCGTCTCCAGGTCGAAGGCGTCCAGAGAGCTGACGAATGTCGGATCCAGATGGTCGCGTGCCTCCGCGGCTTTGTCCATCAGCATCAGCGCCTCGCCTGCGTACATATGGCCCAGCAGTCTGTGGATACAGGAAGTGGCTTAGTAATCAGAAATCTGATAATAATCGAGGAATGGTTACTTGTGTGCATCCGAAAGACGCTCGCCCCGCAGGAGGTGCTCGGCCATGTCCAGGGCCGTCACATGGTCCCCCAGGCGCAGCGAGACGAAGCTGTGGGCCGCATAGATGGCGGCCAGCATGTTTTCAAGCGATTCTAGGCTGACCGGTTTCGATGGGTTGCAAAAATTATTGTCCTGCAGCTGGCGCCACGACCTATGCGCGTGCTCCGTCTGCTCAGGGGTCTCCTCCTGCGTGGCATCCATATGAAAGCTGGCCTTGTGGTGCAGCGTCAGGGTAAGAGCGCTGCGCAGGCACAGAGCCGCAAACTCTAGGGTTGGCTCCGGCACGCCGGCCGACTGCGGTCTGTGGGACAGTGGAAAATATAAGCTAAAAAATGCACAACCATTTTTTATCTGGAGTCAGGGCAGCACTTACGCATATGTCCTGGATGAAGGCGGGGATGCGGCTCCAGCTAACGACTGACGTTCGTCCTCTGCCAGGTTCTGCAAAGTCAAATAAATTATCTGCATGATTATGGATTGGTTATGTGGAACGTACTGCCTCGTGCTCCATGATGCAAGCCTCGGCCATGCGCAACCAGAGTCGCGGATTGCTGTGGAACTGCTTGACGGGCACGAGTAGGCACTGAAAGGCCTCCTTTGGACGGCGCAGATGGAGCATGGCGATGCCAAGGTTGTACAGGATCTCACACGAGTGCGCCGAGCTCATCGTCTGGAGGGTGCTCTCCCTCAGATTCGATGCCAGCTGCTTATCGAAGTTCAGGGCGTTTTGAAAGAACTTTGCCGCTATAGCATAGTGACGCACTCTCAGGTGGATGACGCCCATATTGTTGGCAATGCAGGTGCTCAGCTGGGGAGTTACAGTGCTGCAAGAGAAGGAACAGCTGTTAGCTCTAGCTGTAGGATTGGCTGCTTTCAAGGATTTACCCTGCCTGAGTGCACTCGTTGTTGATGCGCATCAGCTGCTTGGCGGCCATCTGGAAGTCCTTCATGATGTAGTACTGCTGCGCCCTGAGCGCCGCGTAATGGGGCGTCCCGTCCTCCGTTATGACCACCGGTTTCCGATTGAGTACATGCGTCAGGAGCTGCAACAGCTGAAGGCTGCCACTGGTGTCCCCCGCGGCGCGTGCCACCGCCGCATCCGAGCCCTGGGCAGCCACCACTGTACTGGGCGTGGCCGCGGCGGTTGTGGCTGTCGCCGGGACGACCTCATCGGGATTGCTGCTCGGCGCCTTGTCCACCAGGTTCAGCGTGTACTGTAAGTAGTCCAGAAAGGCCTCGGCGCGGTTCAGCTGGTTGGTGGCCAGCAGCAGCTGCAGCTGAAGGGTTGCCACCAGCGCAGACATGGCCTTTTCCAGCGCCTCCAGTCTGGCCACCAGTGGAGCCAGTTTCTCCAGCGCCGTGCCATACATGTGCCGGTGGTAATAGATGACCGCCTTGTTGTACCTGGCAACAGTAGCCGCACTGGCGCCCTGCTTCAGGGACAGCCCGCCACCTGTCTCTCCCATACCCTGGGGTGCCTTCACGTCGGTGGCCAGCTCCTCCAGCTCCTGCAGCAGCGTCGCGTGCTGGGTGCAGCCGCTCTTGTAGAAGTTCACGACGGCCCGATTGTGCCGCAGGATGGGCCCACTGCTCTCGCCCTTCGTGTCGAGCTGTTGTAGGAGCTCCAGGCAGCGGTCGTACTCGGTGCTGCAAAGGGTGTGGAACAGGTCTGTATTGCCGGGTCTGTAGCTGCGGAATTCATGCGGGAGGCTTACTTGTTGAATTGTTCGTGGGCTTGGCACAGTAAGCTGTAGTTTTCATCTTCGCTGGATTGCGTTTTTGTAGGAGAATCCGCCGAGTCCATGCCAAAAACAAATAAAAAACAAAAAACACACACGACTCGTCAGGGTTGGCGAAGCAGATTTCGAGCAGTACCCGTAGATCTGTCTCACTCGCACAGTCTGCCTGCATGCGATTGTGCAGCCCTGCGCGCAATGACGCGCCGCGCCCCGCCGGCAGTTTGAACAATTTCCGATTTTAAATCGTTATCAAAACTGATAAAAGGCGTTTCGTTTTTTTAATTATTTTAATTTGATTCGAAGTACAATATTATTCACTAAATTGATTCAAAATATTCAATAATTTTCATATAGTTTGACGGTTTTCATTTCTTGGGGCCGAGGGAGGGTATACCTATAATTTTTGCTGCTTTCTTACTGCTGCATTTTGACGAAAAACCAAGAATAATTCAAAAATTTCGCACAACTACACTGACGGGGGCGGGCTGGGGTCCCGCTTCAGAGGCGGGGGAATGGAGCTGCCAAGACATTTGGCAACGGGACTTGCATTGGGGGATAGAGAGGACACGTCAATCAATGAGTGGGCGTGGTAGGTATGTATGTATTATGTACACTATTATGTAAATATATGTATTGTTTGTATAATATATTGTATATAATGTATGTATACCATATAAACTTGAATTTAGCATTTAAAAACTCCCAATGCTTCAACATTAACTGAGCAGCAGCTTCGGCAGCAGCAGCGGCAGCAGCAGCAGCGACGTCAAGTCCACTTGCACTTCCGCTTCCACTGCACTTCCGCCTGCGCCGAATAATAAACAGATTCCTTTACTTCTACTTCTACGCTCCTTCTCTCGACCGTCCCTCCCATCCAGTTCTTCGTTTCTTCTTAATCTTGCTAAGCACACACACACATACACATACACACGGATCGGGTCTACTCCCTAATAGAGTTCGTAACGGTTTTGTTCGTTCGAGTTGTTGCTTCATTGCATTGCTGTTGATTCTGTTGTCGTCTTCGGCGCCGCCTCCTTATGTGTTCCGTATCTTTCCCGGTACATAGTTCTTGTCGATGACATTCTCCTGGAGGAACATATGCAGACAGCGCTCATTCTGCGCCAGGGGATGACCGGCTATCTTGTTGATGAACGCCTCCAGGCCCTTGCGACGCTCCTCGATGAAGCTCTCGTCGAAGATGCCCTCGTCGCCGCGGAATGGCATCTGCCTCTTCCAGGCTTTCCCCGGCAGCGGCGGCACCACAATCTTAAGAATCAGAGAGATAGTGGTATTATCAAGATTTCCATTAATGGATTACGATTTGCTTACCTTGCTGTCCCTTTCCAGCTCGTTTCTTAGCCATTCGAAGTCGCTGTAACGCCGTCTCACGCTCGATTCCTTCACCTTGAAGACCGGCAAGTTTGTCTGAAAGAGGGAGGAAAACAGAGGAAAAGCTGGGATTAATGACAAATTCCTCGAGGGCACGAACCCGCATTGACAGTCCATACAGTGAAATCAAATTACTCAAGGCCCGGATCGGTGCCAGCGGACTGCAATTGTGACTAATAATTATCGCTCGGCTTAATAGGCGTATCACCCGGACACACGAACGCAAACACAATCACAGCCCCGTCCCTCGCTCCCACACACACACACATTTAACAGTTATCAACTGTTTTGGGCAATTTTTGCACACTCAGCGACAATGGGATCGACACCGCCCCTCTGCCACAACTCACCCGCATGCGAACTTCGTAGTCCGTGTAGCGCTTCTTGCCCGCCGCCATGGTGGTCAGCGGATTGACCACATCGATTTCGAGGAAGTTGGCGGGCACTGCATACGCATCGTCCAGTGTCTGTTTCTTCACGTTAAGGCGGCGAGTTGCATCGGCAGTACCGTCGGACTCCACCATCATAATGCAGTTCACTCGCGAGGTCGGTAGAAGCTATAGACGCCCCTTAGTGTGGCACCAAATTCCGCCGCAGCAGAGTTTGCGGGAGCGGGGGGCTGCAATGCGAATCGAATAAAGAGGCGCACGGGAAACTGGTTTTGCGTTGGTCGTAGTGCGATGCGTGGAATGGTGCTGTCCTCTCTTTGTGTGCTCGCTGGCCGCTGCAGTTGTTTTTGTTGCCACGGTATGCGGGCGGATGGACTTCGAGAAAATTCCGAGATTTCTGCTGTCCTCAGCTTCAGTTCGGCGTTCGGTGCGGCACTGTATGCGCTTGCAACCGCTTTTGTGTGTGCACCAAATAAACAACTAATATAATTTAATTAAACGTTCCATTAAAAAACTTTCCAATAATCACTAGAAAATCATCGATGATATATATCGGCTGAACCTCAGAAATGTACCGATGAATCAACTGAAGTTAACCCAGTTAATCCCCCTATATTTTTAAAGCGTTGAAAAACATGAGCTAAATTGCGGAAAATAATACTGCTTGTAAATTTTTCTTGTAGATCCATTCTATCCTTTCTCTTTACTTACAAAAGACTCAATGATATCTTTCATCTGAATTGCGATAAAATTCTTCAAGATCTACAATTTTCGTGGAGTTTAGTTTAGTACCCACTGGTCGACAATGGGTTAATAGTTCTCTGTCCATGACCGAAATTCGTGCATTCTGTTTTCGTAAATGAACTATTTTTGGAAAAGGCGAATAGTCATTTCAGTACTTACTGCAAAGATCGGAAGTGGCCAGAAGATGATTCTTGGGGATCTTGGCCTCAAGAATCCCCATCACCCTTGGCTGTCTTCTCGCCCTAGAAACACAGATCGACCGTTTGTAGATCTGGATGTCGGCGGACATGTTGAGGGGCAGCTCCGACCGAGAGCGTGGCAATCTCCTCCGGCTCCGAGAGAATGATCTTCGCCAGAGGACCCTCCACACAGTAGCCGGCAATAATGACGCCGTTCTTAGTCATTCCTGGCGATCACATACGTTTGGTAGACGGCCTGCGACGAGGTTTAGTGGACATGTATTTCGTGCAGCTCGGGATCATGCGACTAGAGCTCGTAAAAAATCAACAGCAAGACAGCAGATCAAGGTTACCAGGCAGCGACCTCCTTGCAGAACGATCTCGGGGTCCTCGCGCTTCTCGTGTGGGTGGAGTCTGTGATGAGGACAATAGACTTCATAGGCGGCACATCCGCTAAGGTTAAGCCGTTTAACCAAATCTTCTTATGCCGCATTTTACCGTTAAATGACGTTTAAGTGACACTTTATCGAGTAACGGAATTCAACGGTAAAATGAGGCATTAAAGCTCCCCGAAGAAGGCAAATATATGCATGTGTTTGTGTACTGAATGGCGTGTGTGTTTCCATGAGAGTTCTGGGCCCCAGCCATTCTCAATTGATGAAATTCCAAACAATTTTTAACTCCAGTGCGCCGTTTTCCCATTCAAGTACTTCAATGGGCCGCCAGAGCATGGATATTCCATTATCGCACAAAAGTACCGATATTTTCACTAGTCTACCCTGAGCATCGATGAGAAAAATCAAAAGTCGCTGGTAGATCTAAATTAACAACGTGAGACATCGGAAAAATAGTGTCGATCTGCCCTAAACTCTGAAAAGTACCTCCGTTGATCACGTATTCCACAAAAATGTTCCAATCAACCTTAAATCCCCTACCAACAAATATATTGTCACAAAAATATATATCGATACATCATCGCATATTTGACAACCCTAGAGTCATGTGATGGCACGTGACGTCACAACAAATTTTACACAGACTTCGATTCCAGAGTAATTTTTCTTCGTGCTCGCAACCACTTCGCAGGCTCAAAATTGTGCGTTTGTGTCGCTCAGTATTATTCGAAGCTGAAAAATTGTATGTGTTGCTCGACGTAATCTGTCTCTAAATACCACTGAGCAAGTGAAAACACAGTCCAGCTAAAGTTGAATATTTTCTTTGCAGCTCGAAATTTGCTGTGCACTTCCAAGGTAGAGGCGAATCGGTGTAGAAAGAAAATTCATTGTGCAAAATGAACGCCCAACAAGCACACAAGGAACATGTCCTTGCCGTATCTCGGGACTTTATCTCCCAGCCCCGTTTGAGTGAGTATTCTAATTAGAAAGTGAACAAATGCATTCAAACTCATAGTTTGCTTCTGCCAAAAATACTCTCGGGTCGCCATGACAGTTTGTACGAATCTGGTGCAAAGAAGAACAACGAAAAATCAATAAAACCCTATCCCACCCACAAATTGAGCTTACAATTGCTCCATAAAGCAGCCAATTGTCAAGAAAATATTCGGACTGGGATTATTGGTCCATCGTTACTGGCAAACGTGACTTTAGAGTCCGTCCGCAGTGATGAGTGGATTTTTATTGAAAATTTTCGCCGTCACATGACTACCATAGATCAGCTGTTTGCACTTGCCATTCAAAGCGCGCAACCAGAGGCACCTGACTGCGAACGGGGTGGGAGGAGGGCGAAGTAAAAGCTTGAAAAAGTAGTTAAATTTGTGGTTGTAAGCAATTTTTGTAATTGCTGGCTATTAATTAGTTTATCTGACAGAGTGCCCAACTGTATTTTGTGAATAATTTATCTTGTCTTTTATTTATTGACTGGTAGTGTTATCTGCGCTTGGATTTGGTATTTCTCCTAAGATTTCCACTGCAGCTCGTGGCCCGCGGCCAAAACCAGTTGGGCAGTCAGCTGACATAAGTTCCCCCACACCCCTCCCACCCATACCTCTCTTTTGACAGTTGCCTTCTTATCAGATTCTCCAAGGGGTTCATGTGAGCAGGCGGCCTAGACTCGTGTTTTTTGTTGCAATTACGGAGTAACGATAAAATAGAGAAATCTGATTGGTATTGGGAAATGGCAAGGAAGGAATTTTCTAACCGTTTGTTTTCCATTGGTTTCTTCACTATTTTCCGCCAACAGCCTACAAGACGGTGTCTGGTGTGAACGGTCCCCTGGTCATTCTCGATGAGGTCAAGTTCCCCAAGTTCGCCGAGATCGTGCAGCTGCGCCTGGCCGATGGCACCATCCGCTCCGGACAGGTGTTGGAGGTCAGCGGCTCCAAGGCCGTGGTGCAAGTGTTCGAGGGCACCTCGGGCATCGACGCGA